CCTCTAATCAGCAGCTCAAATTATCTACGCATCCTGTCAAGTGCTGATAAGTATTGATTCAAATATCCGCCAACCTCAATGCTTTTGGTTTTCGTATTTGAACACTGAAAGACTAGAATTTTGGAAAGGACAGAATATATAAAGAGATTGCTGAAAATCTCTTGCTCTAAACAATGAAATAACAATCATACAGTAGAATATTGAAACATTGATTCCTAAGTTAAATTCAATGTATATTTTGAGCCAAATATGGTAAAAACACTTTTCTCCTTGACTGTTTTATAATGGGGAGAATACGAAATCCACCTTTTTGTGGAGTGATTTATTGGCTTAGCTTTGATTTTTCACAAACCCGAAAGTATAAATCATCTAGTAAGGATCGAAATCACTACTCAATCGTAATTGATTTAGTGACTAAATCTTGCTATTACACGCTGTCAAAATATATAACCTAAAAGTATATCAAGAGAGTTCAATTCTGTTTAATGATTGCATATAAAATAGCTAAATGCTATAATGTAAAAAAAAAAAGAAAACACTGATTTTCTAGGTTAGATCTTTTGTAAAATAACTGACTGGATATACGGCATCTTTACAACTGTACATTTGGTTTAACGTACTATGAATCAGAAAATGTATTTAAACTATGGAAGATCAATGAAATTCACGTTCAATCCTGTTTCAATTTAAAATTCATCATAGTATCGATATATGCTGTACCCATGGCCATCATATATATTTTTGGGTTCTGAAGGTAATACTGCTTATTTAGAGTTGGATATAACACAAATGTAGCAGAAACTCACATTAATATTTTCAAGTAGTGGCATCATTATTAAAATAAAATTCCAGAAACTTAAAATCATTGAATTCGGTAGCGTTTTTCCTTTAGTATGTGTTCGATCAAGGATCTTCACAACTTCCTATTATTTTTTAGATGTTATCAAGATTTTCATTTTCGTAATTTCTTACAATTCATGTAAGTCATCTCCTTCAACCCGAAATAGTTTCGACTTTAAATAACAGCCTTAAAAACACAAATCAATGGATTGCACTTCATCCTTGAGGATACTGTCCAACATTCGCTGTCATAGAGTTGGGCTGATATTAGTTAAGAGTTTATTATTTTTTCCCTTTGTTTCTGACAAAAGTATCCTGATTCTTATCCTAGATTTAATAGACATCCTTTTCGATTCCAGTGCGTCCTCAATTTTCGCTGTCACAATTTACATCCTCTGTTAGAACTCTTCTCATATATTTTAGTTTTCGTAATTACTTGGTTTCGACATTTTCAATTCCAAGTTCGCATTGTGAGATATTTATCATTCTGATAAGTGTATTTTTTCAACTTACAATTTAAGGTTAATCCTTTCTTTTCGCCTCTTTTTGCTGCTTTCTGTATGAATAGCGGCAGTATATTTCTCTGTCTCAAATCCTGAAAGAATTCGCAATCACTTGATGTAAAGGTAGAATAAGTCTTGCAAAGACAGATACTTTCCTTAGGTCTAATTCCTTTCTTTGTATTTACTGAATTCCTTTTTATATTCATATACAACCCGTCTTCTGCCATTATAAGCCGTGTCCTATTCTAACGTCTTTCATAAATAGGTCAAACTAAGTTAGCAGTTCAAACAATTATTTGGATAAAAACTTAAATCGTTCCCCTTAGTGTGAATTTAACTTCTAGTCTCATGTTAAATCTTCAGGATCTAGACTTGATCTCTTTAGGAAAATTGACATATTATTCAACTTTACGTAATGGGCTGTTATATTTAATAAAAAAAAATAATTTATTGTTTTGCCTTATTCTAAGTTAATGTGAAAGAGTAAATTTACCAAATTCTACTGACAACGCAACATTATCTCACTGATATGAGACATCGCTTAACAACCCGGCAGATTATTTCCGATTAGAAATGAATAATTAAATGCATTGTCACTTTATTGGCTTACTGCTCTGTAACGTGACGATAACAATAGCAATAATAATTATACTAACAACTTTACTAAGGCAATATTATGATTTACTGTAACAAATTTATAAAAAACGACGGCAACAAATGTATAGTAATGTTTAAATGTTCTTGCATCATTTTGGCTTAATACGCATAAAATGTTTGCCGTTATCTTTCTGAACAGCATGTTTGATTATATCAACAGAACCTTTCAAAATCGTTAGAATACTAAATATACAATCGCATCTTCACATAAGTATCGTTTTATTTTTAATTTCTTGTGACTTGTTTATTTTTTTATTTAATATTTATTTTGATTATTTAAGAACCTGTAACAACTTACACGAAACCGGAGAGTCAGTTTAGCTAATGAATTTCATCATTATATACGCTGTTCTATTGTTCAAGCATGTATTTTCTTTTGTCTGATGCATTTTGATGTTCGTCACCTCCTTAATGATATCTCGTATTTGCTTTCGTATTGTCGTCTTTGTTCGTCGGAATTGGATATCTTAGTCTTCATTTTTTTTTTTTTTAGCCTGTTGCATTCCTCTTTTAAATAGAGGCTTTACATAAATGAGTCCTCAAAGGCATAGTAGGAATTTCTTAATTCTTAGAATGCACATTATTTTTTCGACAGTACCTTCTCGTTTTTCAATGTGGATAAACAAAATGCCCTCAATGTTTGATAAGGTGTGACGAGGTATATTGTTTTGCTAACAATGATCTTGAACAGAAAATCAACATCCTCTAAAAAGTGCACCAAGAAATAAGACTCAAGAAAAGCCTTCCCAAAAGAAAAATTATTATATGGAATTGGAATGAAAACAGTGATAGCACCTATACTGAATCCATCTTAAAATTTTGGGACGTGGAATTAGTAAATAAACACTTTGCAAATCGCTGTGAATGGATCGGTTGTTAGAAACTTAGAATATGACAAAAGGAAATTAAACATAAAATAAAATGTACAAGACGTAGTCACGCCCAACACTGCAATTTCCTACAAAATCAAAATATCAACTAAAAAAATCGACGTGTGCTTAAATAGCTCGTCAGATCGATACATTCACATGGATGTCCTGCATGGGGCGAAACCTGTTCATAAATACTTAAACTGTCAAATATCTACAGTAGGTTTCTGTAATCAATGGTTAAAAATGCCTTTGCGCGAGTGAAATCTGTGGGTTTAGTCGAAAACAGTATTTCTTCGAACCTTGGCGATACAGAATCACAAATAACTCTACCAAATAACAGAAATGGATATTATACGTAACTTGAGACAACAACAATCAAAATGACGTTAACATTCTACACTACTTAAAAAAAAAAATCGTTATAACTCCATCAATATGGAATGTATGATAATAGATACTGGACTTGAGAAACCTTTTTTTATTGAAAACAAGTTTTAAGAGAAATGTTCTACAATTTCAACCAACATCGGTGCTAGCTGTTTCCTCAATGAATGCTGAAAGTTTCCTCATAAGAAAACTACTAATATTACTATTAACATTAACAATATAGTGAAATTGTTTAAATGAATTCGATTTTCCACTAAGGTTGATCGTAATCCTTTTATATTATTGACCTGGGTAAAATTATTAGTCCACATACTTGGTGTCTGTTTGTACATTTTTTAGCTAACAAAATGTAGTATACCTACGGACGATAATGACTGTCCCTATTCACATAAACAAAGTAGTAAATACTGTATGTTTGTCTGGAGTTGGAGATTCATTGTGGAATTTACTTGAGTCACTTCTAGCAGTTGACTACTTCTACGCACCGCTGGTCACTTTTATACGAGTTGTTATTGTCCTAATTATTATCGTTCATTACCCACCTTCGTTGGATTATTGCATTCAGTAACCTTCCCTAGGTTACAGCACAAACATTCCCTCGGCATTCGCATGTCAGGAAAATTGTCGAAGGAGAAAGCCGGTACGTATGCATAACTACTGAAATACGCATTTTATATAACCCATTCGTACAGACAGAATTAACGTCAAAAGTACAGTTATACGGTTTTCAATGGCAAACGTTCAACTTAGGATTTCTTTGCCTATGCAATACTTATTTGTCATTCTTTATTGATATGCTCAATTCTTACAAAAGGTCGCAAGAACGAAGCTATCCGTGAATTTTGAAATTAACAATATTGTTATATCGTGATTAACCCGCTAAATGTTTCCCAAACACAAGCGTACAAGATATATTTCCTTAATTTGGGTTTATCAACATAATCTGTTGAAACACTGGTTCACACGAGATCACCAATGTTAAACAAAGTAGTCTGGTCAATCTCTATATAGGTGTCCGCTTGGGAATATTAGGTGCTGTAAACTTGTATATGCGTGGAAGTCTGAATTCGGAATTCAAAATTGCAGAGCCATGTTGCAATTCCAGTCGCGTTTCTTACTCGCAATTACCGTTGGGAAATGTATTAATCCATCTCTTCTCCCCACACTATGGATTAATTAGTAGACATTTTAAGAGTAAATTATTATCTCCCAAAAATTCTTAGAATCAAAAAAGATTTTTTGTCATTAAATAACCTGCAAATGTTTGGTAAATCTTTAAAAACTTTAAAAAAATTAAGCTTAGCTTTTTGGTGTTTAGAAATGATCGGTCAAACAGAGCATTAAGGATCTTTTAGGCTAACGGAATAACCAAATGTTTTAACTTTCAAGACAACAAAACATACATTTGATACCATCATTGTTAGTCCTAACCAATCAGTTGTAACGTATCAGTCCGTATATTACAGGGAACATTTGTTAAAAACAAATAAGTATTAAGTTATCATTGCCGACTGTCAAGTATACTGCGAACTTTTTTATTTTTTTTATTTTTTTTTATTCAAGTCTATCCTTGTAAGTTATCAGGAAAAAAAAAACATGGAGTTTTTCTCCTCTGAAAAAAAACATCTCAGAAAATAGGATTTTAAAACGCACTTACTCGTAAATGTAAACTAATTTAATTAAACACATGTAACAGGATTTGTCATCTTCACGCACTTACGTATGTTCTAATATTTGCTAAATGAAGTGGTCTCATAAAAGGTTGGGTCATTTTACCTCTCTCTGTCTCTCTACCCCTCTCTCTCTGTCTCTCTACCCCTCTCTCTCTGTCTCTCTACCCCTCTCTCTCTGTCTCTCTACCCCTCTCTCTCTGTCTCTCTACCCCTCTCTCTCTGTCTCTCTACCCCTCCGTCTCTGTCTCTCTACCCCTCCGTCTCTGTCTCTCTACCCCTCCGTCTCTGTCTCTCTACCCCTCCGTCTCTGTCTCTCTACCCCGTCTCTCTCTCTCTACCCCTCCGTCTCTCTCTCTCCCTACCCCTCCGTCTCTCTCTCTCTCTCCTCCGTCTCTCTCTCTCTCCCCCTCCGTCTCTCTCTCTCTACCCCTCCGTCTCTCTCTCTACCCCTCCGTCTCTCTCCCCTCTCTCTCTCTACCCCTCTCTCTCTCCCCCCTCCTCTCTCTACCCCTCTCTCTCTCCCCTACCTCTCTCTCTCTCTACCCCTCTCTCTCTCTCTCCCCTACCCCTACCCCTCTCTCTCTCCCCCACCTCTCTCTCTCTCTCCCCTACCTCTCTCTCTCTCTACCCCCCCCTCTCTCTCTCTCTCTACCCTACCTCTCTCTCTCTCTACCCCTACCTCTCTCTCTCTCTACCCCTACCTCTCTCTCTCTCTACCCCTACTCTCTCTCTCTCTACCCCTACCTCTCTCTCTCTCTCTCTCCCCTACCTCTCTCTCTCTCTCTACCCCTACCTCTCTCTCTCTACCTACCCCCTCTCTCTCTCTACCCCTACCCCCTCTCTCTCTCTCCCCTACCTCTCTCTCTACCCCTACCTCTCTCTTTTTTTATTCGCTGTCTTTTTCCGCTAACTCTTTGTTTCCCCGCTAACTCTTTCGTGCGAAAAGCATAGGTTGGTAGTATATAAAGTTAATCGTAGTTGGCTTAACTTGAATCAGCAAAGCTGTTCCTGGTAAATTATTTTGTATTGAAATTCGATTGTTGCATAGCAGTGTATGACAGAAATAATTGTAGCATTTCTGACACTGCTAGGACATTTGAATTCAAAATATGTTGTCTCGTTATCTTTCATAAGGTACGTGGGCAAAATCCGGACCACTTTCACCTTGTTAACACCACAAAACCAATCAAGCTCAGAATGAATCATCGGGAGAATGTAATGTGGAGTAGTTGATATATTTTGCAAAATGTATTTGAAGTTCAAATAATTAAAAACTCTGATCAGTAACTTTAATCATTAAAAAAATCACAAAACAAATTTGTTTTTAACATGCTAATTTGTTGCCTAATGTGTCTCGAAGTAGCTCCCTCCAAAAAAATGATTATATTATTATTATATTTCTCTAGTAGTTTACACTTCAAGTTCAGGACTGATTTAGCCAACGACTATTTATATGGTAGAGATTTCCATATACAACATTCACCCCAACTTTTTTGACAATGTAAATTTGGAATACTTTAGTTCGGGTAAAGAAAAAGAATGCAGTTTCAAAACTAATCATATTATTTTTAGCGTTCGATACAGAGTCATTGAGGTTCTTTAGTGATATGGCAGGAGCGCCTAAAAATATTTTGGGGGTTGAGGTGGGTCTATGTTAAGTGTTATGTCCAGGGAAGTTACATGTTCTTGGTTTAGCTCCTTCAGTTGAATCACTAGAGATTGGTTGTGGTAAAGTATCTTTTGTTTTTGGTATGTTATTTCCATCCGATAAAATAAAAAAAAATCTGTTCATAAGAATAATTCGTGATTGTACACAATAAGAAACGAATCGAGAAGAGGGCGTCAGATAAAACCGTTTCCCATTGATTCCCAGTTAAACATCTCGATATTAAGTTTAAGTTGTTCGTCCTCCATAGAGTTCCGTTCAGTCTCTCCACTTGATCGTTTCCCCGTGGCGGTGTATGCAGTACACCTACTTATAGATATTCCTTTTTCTGGAAAAAAATCTTAACTCCTCCGACATAAAACTAGGTCCTCTATCAGTGTATATTATTTGGCAAACCAAATATGCAATATAATTTACTGACGCAAGTCAATACAGCTGTAGTGAGCATGTTCCTACACGCATACGGGAAATGAAAACGACTATATGCATCAATGACAGTAAATACATATTTGTTTCCTCCACGATTTGAAAGAAGCCGTCATTTTAAATCTATATTCAGTCTTTCGAAGAGTTGAGTGGCCTTGATTAATTTGCCACATCCTCTTACATATCTTGGCTTTTCTGCGACACACACATATTTTCAGTCATTAACTTTACTATTTCTCTTGAGTAGGGCAAATTTTTCGAACTGATAAAATGCATTATTCTAGATACACGCGGATGACATTGATTATTATGTAATTCTTTAAGGTCGATATTCACGACAGAGGCGTAATGTCCTCTCATTAACGTATCTGGGAAGGAGTTTGTGATGTTCGGTCGGTGACTGATACCATATTTCTAAATGGAATATCCCCCAGCGATTATTTTTTTCGTTTTTAGTCTGCGAACTTTTATGCTTGTCGAAAATATAGAATAGAGCATTTTGATCCGTGGCAAAAATAAAATATTTACCTTTCAAGTTATGATTCCATTCCAGGATTGCTTCGATGTTCTCTTCTTTCTCTACTGGGGAGTGGTTTCCTTCAAAGGGGGTTAGACTTCTGGGCCAGAAAGCAACAGCCGTATCTACTTGGTTTAGCGTCGCAGCTAAGCACATTTAACCTAGCAACAGTTTCAATTTCTAGGATTTTTTTCTCGTCTAGGATATCTTCTACAGCTCTTTCTAATTCTCTTTTCATATATCCAAAGAAATCTTTGATTTTAGCAGGAAATTTGTATATACAGGGAGTTGCAGCAAAATCCGACACTTGACAATAAGAAAACGAAATAGGCAATAAAAACAAAAGTTGTATATGCAGAGACCAGACAGTTTATTTTGCAATGGTTAGTTACATACTACATTATTTTTCAATGTTACCGCCGGCGACGACGACCATCTCAAGTCGGGCGCAAAATGAGTCACACGCTTTGGCGACCCGGGCCTTGTCCCAAGCGGTGAACGCCTCCACGATGGCAGCCATCAGAGTCGACAGTGTTGTGGTCTTGCTTGTTGGATTTTGCCTAGAGCACGCCCCCAGAAGGAATAGTCAAGGGGGTTGCAGTCGGGTGAGGACAGCGGCCACAAGTCCGGCGACCAGTTGTGAGGAACATAGTTGAGCAGCCACGCTTGGATCATCTTGGTCTTGTGTGCAGGAGCGGAGACGTAGTGGAAGACATAAGGGCCCCCGCGGGGATCTCGTCCATCCAATGCTTCACCACTCTCCTCAGCACCTCCTGGTTGATCTTAGCAGTGACTCTCAGGCCCTTTTGAAAGAAGAACAAAGGCATAACGTCCCCCTCGTTGACCATGACGCAGGAGGGAAACTTCGTATGCTCGATGTCTTTGCAGATCCACCTGTCGATCTGCTGTTGCTCGTCTTATCCTGGATGAAATTGTTTTCATCAGAGAAAAACCTCAGCATCCCGGCGGACCCAGGTTTGAGTTCGTTCAGCAAAGCCGCCGCCTTGATCTACTTCAACATCTTGGAGCTATTCGTGATGAGCATGCATTGAGACTTGCGGTGGGAGGAGTAACCAATATCCTTCTTGATCGTTGGGCAGATCGTCGACTTGTGACAGCTCATTTCAGCGGCGCTCTTGGCATAGCGCTGGCTTCCATCATTGTCGACTATCGACGGTAGCGCCGAACTCGTTTGTCGTAATGGCTGAAAAAAGAACATGTTGGCCTTTCGTTTGGCAGTAAACTCGTCCTTGTTCTCACACGCCTTCCACTTCCTCCAAATGGGCATGACCATGGTCCTCTTAAACCCGAACCAGGCCATCACTTCTGCAGGCTTTTTCCCGACGCGAAAAGAAGCTACTACTGCTCTGCGCTCATATTCTATCCTGGAAAAGGGTAGAGAGAAAAAACATTAGTTAGTTGTCAAACTCTCGGGTATCTGCATATACAACTTTTGTTTTTATTGCCTATTTCGTTTTCTTTTTTGTCAAGTGTCAGATTATGTTGCCACACTCTGTAGTATTCTTATTAGCACCTGAATTTTTAGCCAATCGTTTGATTCGGCGAATCCAGTAAGAGAACAGTCAGACGATGCTCTCTGGGATTTCACATTCCCTACAGCATGGTGTTCTCGCAGAGAAATCATATTTTCAGAATCTTCCCTAACGGTCTCTTTACTTGTATTATAGCCAAGAAGTTATATTTTCGTTACTGTGTAGACAGATTAATTCTTATTTATCATGAGCCCGTACGTTTCAATCAGTTCTTTGAAAGTTGTCAAATTAGTGCCATGCCCTCCTTCAATAATATCGTAAATCAGGGGTCGGCAACTCATTTGACCCCGCGGGTCGGATCGTGTTATAATGACGGGTCGCGGGCCGGAAGAAGGCCATTAATGAAAAATTAAGGAAAATTACATATGCAGACCCCTGTCAACCTAAATGTTTAAAACAATAATGAAAATAAACATTGAGAAATCAGAAAAAGAAAAGAAAATCTAAAATTAAAAAAAAAACAGCTAACAAAAATTACTTTTCCTCAAGGAACGTCAAAATACTTCAAAGTGAAAAAAAATCAACCGAAGTGAAATGGATGAAATTATGACGTGTAGGTTTGAAACTGTTTTCAATTTGCAGAATAATTAAGCTTTAAAATGCGTGACATATGGCCCGTGTCGAGCCCGGCCGCATGCAAAAAAATCGGTGAAAGACTCTTGTTTGAGAAGAGGGGTATGATAAGATAAGAACATAGCCCATTGAAAGATTCCAGCAACTTATATAGGGTAGGTGGCAGGGGTAAGTGATGGGGGTCGCTGTTGGAGGAATGAAATAGAAATCCGACTGAGACAACATTTGTCCCTTTGAAGCTGTCGCCGGTCGGTCAAATCGGGTCTCAGTTTTTGTTTTATGTTTGTTTATTTTATTTTTTACGCTGAAATGGAGGTAATTGGGTTTTGATCGTGTTTTTGCGGTCATAGCATTCAAATTTGGTTGGGTGGATCAGAGGAAGATAACAGCAGGCCTTTTGTCGAATTCGAAAGCCTCGTCTCTCATGTTTAAAATAGTCATTGGTAATCAGGCTCGCGGGCCGGTCAAAATGCCTTCGCGTGCCGGATCCGGCCAACGGGTCGTAGGTTGCCGACCCTTGCCGTAAATAGTCACTTCACCAATATATGCGAATGTTTCAGTTTAGGCATTTTTCGATTTTTTCATCTAAAATTCTTTGAAACCCAACAACTTCAGTTGTGATACTAAATGGCATTCAATTGAAATTATAAAATTTCCAATCGGCTTCAGAATCATTATACAGCATATTTACTTGCAGAGATTTAGTAAACAATGTGCCACATATTGTGATCTAAATCTTCACATGAAATCTGCCATGAATATTAATACAACACGTAGTAAAAAAGCAACCAACGTTTCCCCCATCAGCACAATGTGTAAGCCTCAAATGAAACTAAGAAACACAATCACGCTGCCAATATATGAGAATCAATTGATTGCATTGTCTGAACTTGTGTCGTAGCTGTCATTTGTGTACGTATGTTTAAATGTGTACAAACACCTCATATATATATATATATATATATATATATATATATATATATATATATATATATATGGTCTTACACCATGTAAAGACACGAAGACATATTGGGTAACAGATTGTAAAAGAAAAAAAGAACGTTATGAAAGAGCGAGGATAAGAAGTTCATAAAGATAATATATACCGATTGACATTGTATTTATATTATTGTCGGTCAAACTTGACTGGAAAGCATGAAGTCGGAAGAGAGCCCCATGAGTTAAAATTGTGAA